TGTCCTGTTGACCGCACGGTAGTGACGCTAGCTCACCTCCGGCCCGTGCCCCGCATCATGCGTAACATGCTGTCCAAACTTCAGATCAACTGTGACAATGCAGGTTTTGGCTGTACGGCCACTCTGCGGCTGGACCAGCTGCAATCGCACCTGAAGGACTGCGAGCACAACCCCAAAAGGCCCGTCAACTGCGAGGAAGGATGTGGGTGAGTGGGCTTCACTTTGGCAGAAATGAACTCTGCATCGTAGCTGTTGGGTGCATTGATTATGAGCAATTACAAAAATGTATGACCTGTCCTCTGTATGGTATTAAATCCTCTTTTTTTTTTTTTTTTTTTCTCTCTCTCTCTCTCTGGTTACTCCATCTCCCCCGACACTTGCAGGCACGAGATGCCCAAAGATGAGGTGCCCAACCATAACTGCATCAAACACTTGCGGAGCGTCGTCCAGCAGCAACAGACAAAGATTTCGGACCTGGAGAAAACAGTTGCAGAGCATAGACACCAGTTGGGGGAACAAGTAAGAACATTTTCCTGCTTATTTATGTGTTAACCAAAAAAATACTTTATGAGCCAAGTTCCTTATAAATATTGGAGTCTGTGGAACAGGTTTTAAAATAGCCAAGAGCATATTTATTTTCCATGATTACTTCATAATGACAGTGAGTTTTCTACTCCTATCTTATTCAGTTGCTGAATGAGACCTGAGAGTTTTGTCACGATACAGTTATGTAATGAAAAAGCAGAATGTTAATATACAAATACTTAACCCTATAAGGCACTGCTATTACAGGGCTTTCTACAAGGATATGGAATAGTTAGTGGGAAAGAGTAGCCACCTAGGGGGCTGTAAAAGCCCAAATTTGGAAACTGTTCCATCATATACACTCATCTTAACTGTTACATATTTTATTGAGTTTGCCTACCAGATTGTAAACATGTTGTGAATTATTGTAAAGGACAATTGGACTACTTGTGTGTTTTAGCCCACAGTCTGTAAATAGCTATTACTATTTAAAACCATGCCTGACTAATCATAGCTTTTGCAATGAAGCATCATTAGACCTTATTTAGTTATTTATTTTGTATTTATTTATTTATTTATTTTCACCTTCATAGGCATATGTAGACATAGGCCTGTTTCTTTGACTGTTTTAGTGTGTTTGCAGTGCATCTTAAAAATGTCTCTGCTGTAAAAAGCGCAATGGTGATAAAGATAATTCATTCATCAAGCATATAAACGTCTGTGTGGTGTATATGGAAAATAAAGTGCTTTCAGTGGACTCTTTAATGCTTACTGCACGATCGTCAAATTGAATTAGTAGTTTTGAGGGAGCCAGTGTAATTAGGATGCCGCCTGTCTGTGCAATCAATGCAATTCTTAATGTGTTCTGTCATCATTTGTTTTGCAATATTTGTCAAACACTAAAAGACTACTCTCCGCCACACAACCTCTCAGCTGAGCACGACACACACACGCACACACACACATTCATATAGAGCATCTGGGGTGGGACTGATATAGACAGATATGGGTGTTTCTCTATCATCATGTTCACATTGTTTTGAAGCAGAGGCTAGTGGTAAAATGTACAGGCAACTTGTTCATCAAAACCATTTTATCAGAATCAAAAATGTACATGATGCTCATGGAAAGCTCTGCTGTTACTATGTATGTTCTTGATAGCTAGGTCGGAGTCTGACACAGCTGAAACTATTTAGAATCAGTAATATTACAAATAGTCCATTTATAAATTCCTGTTTATCTTTAGGAGTATTTTGTGGTATCAGTCACTGAAGATGATGCTTTTAATTTCCAGAAACGGGACATTCAGCTGCTAAAAGCCTACATGAGAGCAATCCGCAGTGCTAATCCTAATCTCCAAAACCTCGAGGAGAGTATCGAGTACAACGAGATCTTAGAGTAAGTTAAAATGTCATCCTCTCCAATGCTTTTTATTCTATTATTAACTTTGTCTGAGAGCTGCAGATCAGTCCCTAATTTTCTTCTTCTTCATCTAATCTCCAGGTGGGTGAACTCCATGCAACCTGCCAGAGTGACGCGCTGGGGTGGCATGATCTCCACTCCCGATGCCGTGCTTCAAGCGGTCATCAAGCGCTCCCTCATCGACAGCGGCTGCCCTCTCTCGATCGTGAACGACCTGATCGAGAACGCCCACGAGCGAAACTGGCCGCAGGGACTGGCCACGCTCGAGACGCGGCAGATGAACAGGCGCTACTATGAGAACTACGTTGCCAAGCGCATCCCTGGCAAGCAGGCCGTGGTGGTGATGGCCTGTGAGAATCAGCATATGGGGGAGGACATGATCCTGGAGCCGGGCCTGGTCATGATCTTTGCACACGGAGTGGAGGAGATCTTATAACTTTACAGCGTACTGACCTGATCCAGAGACACGTGGGGAGGACGTTTTGCCTGGGGGGGGAGGGGGGGGTTGCTGTGACCAGTAGAGCTTTTCCTCGTTGGAGTGAAATCTTCTGATTTGAATCTGGCTTATTTCAAATAAAATCCTATAAGGGGCTCACTCCTAAGCTTGATGCCTATGCCTTAAAGTAAGGACAAAGATATTAGGAACCTGGCTAATAGTAACTTAATCTGACTGATATCTGAGATAAAAGTTGAGAAGTGATGTTTACAAGGTTTATATTTTGGTGCAGTATATGATCCGATTGTTCTGCTCCATGTCCTAATAGAGTAATAAGCTTGAACCCCAGTTTAATGCGCTCAGTTGTATAAATGCTTGTAAATACAAATACTATATTGAATTATAAATGTCATTCTCTTATTTCGCTCACTGTAATTGGATTGTGGTTATTCTTTTTTTATCTCAGTTCTGTTTTGTCGGTTTGTGTTGCTGTCTGCAGGGACTTTGACTCTGAAGATTTTTTTCGTATGCTTGCTTTAGTTTTTAGTTTGTTGTGAATATTCCACAATACATTTGTGCTTCTGAGTTTTGATTGTCTAAACCTTCTGTGCCATTTCTTTTATTTATTGTGTTGCCTTTTACACAAACATGCTTGAAAATGTTACCATTTGATGTATGGAAATCTGCCTTTTTCGGTGCATTTGAAGTTCAGAAGAAAATTGGTTTTGTGTTTTCTTTGTTGCCTCAGTTGTAAATATTGTCTGTATGTTGGGTCCAGTTGAAGTGTTAAATTAGAAGTTTAACATTTTGGGATTTAACTATGTATAATGAGTTTTGTTTGACAAATCATAATGGTTCACTTGATATTTTAGGTAATTCTTGCATCTGTTTCTGATGATTGAAATATGGCCATTGATCTTGTCATTCTTCACAGTAAGCAAACATCTATTCACTGACATGTCACCACAAACCATAGCTTGGAGAATGTAAAAATAATTGTAAAGTCACTCTTATGGCTTTTGACAGGTAAACTGTTTCACCATTAGTCGGTTATTGCTGTAGTAAGACAAACAATACTTCAACCATCCAGTATGAACGCCCACAGAAGTGCAGTATACATAAGTTTTAGATTGTGCCCTTTATTATTTTCCCTCTTCAATGTTTTTGTTTTTGTGTCTGTTATGTACTGTGTTGTGCAGACAAGAAAGTAATAAAAAATGTCAAACTTCATCCCGAAAGAATGTATTTTCTCACCGGAATAACACGATTTTATATTTAGCATTTTAATTAGGGAAAAAAACGCAGCTCCTTGCTTTACCACCACATGTCATCACAGATCTGCAGGGTGGGACTTTTCTTCAGGGAATGTCGGCTGATTAGATTATGTAGAAGCATCGGTATAGAGAAAACTGGTGCTTTCAGAAATCTGGGCGGTGAGAAGGAGAAGTGGTTTGTGACATGCTGTAGATCCAGGTCAAGATAATTAAAAGGAACATTTTCACAACAAAACTCCGTGGGACGAAGGTCTGAGTGCTCTGCCCTGTGTCACTCTCCTTTTCTCTGTCTGACCCAGACACCCACATGTTTTCCATGTCTGTTATCCTCTCTTGCCAGCCTCGTCATTGTGGAGCCTAATCCCTCACCATTGTGGTCACTGGAATGTGAAATCATGTGCTTTACCCAATACCGAGGCTCTGTTGTCTACAAACATTATTATGTGATGTGGTTGGTTGCTGCAAGGCATACCGCAGTCCCCATGCTAAGCCACATACTAAGCATTCCTCAGAATATGTTAATGAATATGTTTCGAAGAACATTTCTACAAAATGTACAGCACAAGTAGCAGTACCGCACTGAAAATACTCCCATTAGTTTCAAGGGATTTTTGTCATGTACAACAATTACAGAGAAGTAGTCAAAAGGCAATGACCATTTTGATGCGAATCTAAGACATAAAATAGTGCAGCAGTTAAAATATATGGATAGAATATTAACTAATATATTTGTGGTAGGCATTACATTACAAGTGCTGCATTTATAATGTTTGTGAAGTATTTTTGGCACAATGGATTATATAATGTTCTTGGGTAGTTTAATCTATAAAAAGGCATATTTTATAAACCTATTATCTAGTAACAACAGCCACCAAATAAAGGTAGTGAACTAAAAAGTATAAAGTTGCAAGAAGTGGAAGTACTCAATTAAAGTACAAGTACCTCAAATTTGTGCTTAGTGTTACTTTCCACCATTGCCAGTAGATAACGCAGTAAAAATACTCGTTTCTGATTGGCTACAGGGGGCCGTTATGTTATCACCAAATCATAGCCTAGCCTAGCATATAGGGAGCTACAAAATACATGCTTGCACACTTTAAAAAAAAAAGTTGCTACTTTGCAAATGAACTGTGGCTCCATATGGAAAATGGAGCTACTGTACTTATTAATTAGTTATTAGTATTATTTTTTTTAAATGCCTATAGTGTAAATTGCATTGATTTACTTTTAGCGTTAGAGGAATGATGTGATGTGACAGGTTAAAGCTGCATCATTTTAATGAGCATTACTTTCGCAACTTTGCAGATGGAGGCAGGCTGGTGCACCGATTGTGTATTGGCTTGCATAGAAGAGGGCGCGGAGCAGCTGAGGCGGTGCTTGAGTTGACAGGAGGATCCGCTCACTCAGTCACTGCTCTGCATTAGTTCACTGCTTCCACTTCGCCGAACTGCTGCTGCCTCCATTTAAAGTTAACGGCCACTTGTGAAAGCAGGATTTTTCACCGGTTGTTGAACCGCACCACGACAGAGAAGGTAAATGACTCTCAACAACAAACAGCACGGAGGTCCGGTACTCGAGGTATTGATTGAAGTTTCTGTGCAGCCCTGAGCGGCTCGCTGCAGATCAACGAAGGTCTCATACAGTGTATCATTTTTAGCCTGTTTGTTTTTTGTGCTGCTGTCAACAATTCGCGCATTTAGTAATCGAAGGCTTTCCGCTCCGCGCATGTCAGCGAGTAGCTGTGTGTTAATTGTGGAGTAATTCACTCTGCCGAACAACAGACAACAGGGCAGACCTATTGCATGTTAATGCACGGTCATATGTCTTTCTTTCTTTTTTAAACTCATCATAATTTTAGTTCCCTTTGCAGCGTGTCATGACTGTTAATGGCAGGCTGCTTAAATTACATCCTCTCTGTCTATTTACAGAATAGAGCAATTCATATCTCAGATGGGGAATTGGTAGTGTCTGAAGCGGTAGGGCTGTCATGTCTGAAGATATACTTTGGTGTAAAGGACTATAAGTTTTATTTAAACACACATGCTACAGCGTTATGATATCACTATTGCATTGAGCAAGGAGGTTGCTCTTGTTATTGCCCCATGATAGGGTCTTATCTGAGTGACTGCTATTATGTTTATTGCAGGATATGGTCCTATTCCAATGCAGGACAGTGAAACCTCAGTCAAAATAGACATAAAACCACCTCGGAGGGTTTTCACTGTGTTTTTGTCACTGGTGGGATAACTAAATCCCCCACAGTGTGAAGTAGATGATGGTGGGCACTCGCCCTGCTGTGTGGTCATTGTTTACTCAAAGCTTCCCTTTCATTGCCATTTGGCACTTGCAAATTGGGAAGTGCTCTAAGCTAACTGGTAAAACAAAACATACAGGAAAATCTTACGCAGGTCTGTGTTTTCTCCTTTTTCTCCTGAAATCTCAGTTTTAACTAAGGCCACTTTATTTCCAGGTGACGCTTTCCTGGTCGAGCTGTGTGTTTATTACCAGCGAGTTAGTTGAAAGCTGGGGAGTCTCTGTGTTTTTAGCTGCAAGAGAGTTTTCAGTCACAGTCAATCAATACTGTTGTCGGGACAGCTGTCCCATCATTACATCTGAAGCTAGAGGCTTTAAATGCACTAGAATTTAGCCCATTTTGTGATCTGCAGTTTAGTGTATACATATTAGCTGTAGCCAGTGTGACCAAAGCAATGGCATTTCACTTCTCTAAATTCAGCAGTTATATCTTCCATTTAGCCTTCACTTCCTTCATTACGATATTCCCTTGAGTCTGCCAGAGTCCTGTATTCGTGACTATGATTTTAATCCCTTTTTCTTTCATGAGTCACTACTTTCTTGTTGTCACGTGAAGTGATTAGAATGTGCCTTAGTACAGCTCAAATGCTGTAACTTATAAAATCACTTATTCTCTCCTAGTTAGGCTCATCCATTCATATTTCAAAAACAATTCACATGAGCAAATACAATCGAGTATACTGAAATCCCCTAAAGATCCCAGATCCCTGAATTACTGACATGATAGTGAAGAAGAGTATGTGGCTGCATTTCAGATGGAATCATTGAAAAAAAGGGACATTTAATGTTTCATTTTCAGTCGTGGATAGATCTGTGGGTGAACCAGGCGAGACTCCCTGATATGTGCAAACAGTGGCTGCTGTATGACAGCATTTGCTCTCTCAAGTCTAGGCAGTGTTGAGGTTTTATTTTCTCTCAGCGCAGCGTGGTGTTCTACAAGGCTGCTGCCACACAAAAAAAACAACGATTATATAAGTCACATTCAAGACTGAACCCAGAGTGATGAGCAGTCCTCACAGAGTGAGCAAAGCCTCGCCTACATTTCCCAAGAATCTGTGATTCATTCTGTGGTGAAAGTCTTTTGTTGTTTTCCATTTGGTGTTTTTGGCAGATTTACAACCCATGTTGATTGTGTTCAAGTTCTCCAGTGTTTCTACTAACTTTAGCCTGCTGTAGTTTGCGTACCACTCAATTCTTCAAATATTACCATACGCAGTAGACAAGGGAGACCCATGTTTTGCTCTCATTTAGCATACTCATTACTTTAAACCCTGGTTTTTGCATTTTTTACTTGATAAATCTTACACCAGCTGGATCAATATTTTTATCCAGGACCATGCATAACATAATTTATCAAAGAAATATATATACTATATCTCTTTCAGTGAAGTCAACCACTCATTTTCCAGTACACAATACATCGATATTTACTATAATGAAACAACGTGAAGATATAAAACAACCAGGGGAAGTCATGGTTACTGGCTGTAGCTCTCGGGATACATAAATGTGAAGAAGTGTTTTTTGTTTTTTTCTATGATTGTTCGACTCAGGAAGTCAAAAAATACTGCTCATTTGAAACTTCTAGCTCGGCCTGCAAAGTGACCCCCTGAACACACAGACCATTTATAGTTGTAAGAAAGTATTCCCCTGTTCATGCAATGAGTCACACTAACATCTGCATGTAGAATGCAATTTAGAGCGTGGCCTCTGGTTTCTGAAGGCCGAACGAGGCTCATAGCGTGGGAGGAGGCGAAGCTGCGGGGGGAAGACTCACAGCTATGCTGACTGCCCCCCCCCCCCTTCTGCCTCCCACTCTGCCTCGTCCTACCTGTTAGTCACCCGTGGCCGTGCTCTGACAGGGAGCAGCTGATGGAGGGAAACACTTTCCATAGCAACTGAGCATGTCCGTCCTCCCCCTTCTGTTAACCTGAGGCAATCTGTACGCACTTCACTGAAGATAAATGTAGTTTCGGGGGGGAAACACAAACCCCCAAGAATTAGACATAGACTTTGCTCTCTGTTCAAAGAACCTGAGCAGTGTTTTCCAACCACAGAATGACGAAGTCAATGGCTTGCACCCTGCAAGTGTTGCAAAACAGCAGATTTTGCTCGACACAAGGAGTCGGCATTATGACAGCTTGCACAAATATTCCCCGAGTGTGTACCTTGAAATGATTCTTGTGAAGAGAGTGCTTTATGATTGTGGATCATAATTAAAACGCATGCATATGTGAAGGAAAATGCCAACTGAACCGTCCACTCTAAATCTCCAATTATTTCACCGTGTGATCGTTCTGTATAGCGGTTGCTTTGGCATTTTTTCAGTTGAGCGGTCAGAAGTCAAGGCCGGTGTCGGGCTCTAAACAGACGGTTTTTCAGAGGTTTATGTGGGTGTGGAAGTTGCACACACAAGCTGTTGCTACTTGAAAAACAACATTTTAACATTTAAATTGTTCTTTATTGCTTTTTGAAGAACCACTACTGGCCCCGCATAAAGCCGGGAGAGTGTAGCTCTTGTGCATTGCTGCACAATCTATTCTGTAACGATTATATGGAGTGACATTCTGTTCAAACAGAATAATACCTCTGTCTTGTCAGTAGAGCGAATCAAAGTAACTCACAATGAATGGTGGCTATGTGTGACTCCTGTTAGCTCACATTTAAATCTTTCTCGCCTCTACACAACAGAGTCTCTACCTCATACATGTTTCCATAAAGTAACATAAACCGATCCCTCATTAAGCTCAGCGGTGTAACCTTATTGAGAGCCAGCCCAGAAGCAGTACGTCACATGGTCTGTATTAAGTCCTAACAAGCCTCAGACATTCCTTAAAACCCACCTAAAATATTCATACTTGTTCCGGGACACTATTCATCTCTAAGTGCAGGGAATGCCTCTTCCTGTGCTCCGTGTTCTGACTGGTCCTGATTTCCACTCTGCCTCGTGCATGCAAATCATTATCTAATCAGGAAGTGAGGAATCAGATTACTCCGATAGGCTCGAGATCTTGTCGAACCAGACAATAACGATGATGGTGCTCAGTTGGTAAGGAGACAAAGTAGACGTGATGCTGCTCACGACGTCACGCTCCTCTGGAAAGCATGAAAACAGGAAATGACAAACACCTCCCGGAGTTATCTAAATTAAGAGGTATCTTTTATGACTATTTTTACCTTATTCATACGACAGTGTTTGAAGATGGAGCCAGATGCATATTTTTAGAATAAAGAGGTTCAGGCTGTAATCAGGTGATCAGTGCCAGATGGATTTTCATGATTGCTCCATGTGTCACTCTGCTGTTGATACAGACCTGGCCCACCTGATTGGCTGCATAAACAGAAACTGCTAGGCAACGCTGCTGACCTTTTGAGGGAATTAAGTGAGGACAGCGTGAACCTTTCAGAGTCCAAAGACCGCAAATGGATATAATCACATGCGAGGAGTGGGTGTTATTTCAGATTATTTCTTTTTTTTTTTCTCAGTACATTCTTTGTCCTTTTAAGTTCTCTGATTTTGTGTTGAGTGCAGGCAGCCATCACTGATACCTGCGCCGGGCTTCACTTTAATGTGTGATAACACCTGCGGACAACAGTGTGAACAACACATTTACAGTGAGGACCTATTCATCAGCCTGGACTGGAAAAAAACCACCACACAGTCTTTGATATGCTTCACTTTTGTGTAGTTGATGATAGAATGGTCTTCGATATCAGATTTACAGTGTCCTATGTGTGTATTTAACTCCTCAAATATGTTGAAATTATGTTTGAATTTGCCTTTCCTATTCCAGGCCCCCATTGCCATTCATTTACATACATTAGTATGGAAATTAGTCAGCAGACTGTTAAAACATTCTTGATTTGTGCGCTCCAACAGAGTAGTGTAAGAACTGAATTTCTTGTCTCAACTGCAGTATACCCTAAAATGTAATTTAGACAAAACTGAATGCAATTTGCTGTGATGGATAACACAGAGCAGTTATGTTAAGTATGTTTTAACTAAATCAGGTGAAATCACTGCTGTGGTCCTTAACAAGCGATGATTATTGATAGTTAATGGTGAAAAGCCGTAGTGTAAAAACTATAGGTGTTACAGTTAGAGTAGAATAGTCAGTAAATGGATTCAGTAATGGCCTATCCATCTAAAGTTTGCTAACATTAGCCACCATAAGCTACTGGTCATACCAGACCAAGAAAAACAACAAAACCTCTTACTATTATTAAATGGAGCAAGGATGCATTTTATTGCTTATTAACTCAACAGGAGAATGTGTTATTTTATCGACAAGAATATTACATGGCTTTACATTACAGTCATTTAGCAGACGCTTGTATCCAAAGCGACTTACGATTCAGTTCTATCACACCTACGGGAGCAATTTGGGGTTAAGTGTCTTGCTCAAGGACACATCGACATGCGACTAGCGGAGTCGGAGCCGGGGATCGAACCGCCAATCCTCTGATTGAAGGAGGGCCCTGCTCTCCACTTATCCACCGTTGCCACCTTTACTTCAAATGTTCGCTCTTAAATACCAAAAAAAAGCATGTGTGCTATTGCTTGGTGCTTATTATGATAGACCTGCCTGGAAAGATCACATTTTCTGGATAACAAAATTCCCTCATCATCATCATCATCATCATCATCATCATCATCATGAACTGCATTACGTATTTTGCAACATTTTACTGGCATGCATCTACACAGGATGTTAGGATGCCATCTTTTTCCCCCTCCATTAACTTGTTGCTCTTCTATCTTAAATAATTAATGCATATACTTTTGTCTCCTTGTTTCCTGTCATTAGGGAATCTCTTTACATTATGCTTTAACTGCATGTTTACTTGTGAAACTTCTCATAACGAGCCCACCAAATGTTCATCCAGACTTCATGCTTCGGACTTGTTGCGATTACAAGCTCGTCTCTCAGCTTTGTATGACATTTGAGTCTCTTCCTTTTGTTTGGAGGGGAAGTCCCTTGACAAGCCAGTTAGTTTTTCTTACCTCTATAAGATTTTTGCCACATTTCAACACCATTGTACTCCTTTGAGCTGAACTAAACCATATGCTCCCTATATCTGGTATTTTATAAATCAAATATAAGCCAGTGAGTATGTGGAAAGGTGCAGAGAATCCCTAGAGTCCAAGTATCATAGTACCGTTAACCTGACATCATTTCTACCAGACTGTTGGCCCAGTTTTTAGTGGCTAGTCACATGTGGTGAGAGATTTCAAATAAAGACGTGAGAGCACACCATTGTTAATGGCTGGAAGCGGCATTTCAGAGCACACACGGAAATCAATTTACCCACAAACCTATTATTATTATTCATTGTGTTCACCAGAAAGAGAAAAGACATTTTCGCACGTGTACAGTGTTGACTGCAGACGCTCTACACGGTTCCACATATTCTCTGACAGTTACTGCCTTCTTTCTGCTTCACTCAAACTTTGGATGTTGAGTATGATTCTCCCGGTCTACAATCATGCTTTTTTTTTTTTTTTGACAGAGCGAGATGGAAGATGCTATCTTTTGCTTTTATGTTCTACAAAGAGGCAGGCTACTATGCACCCACCTTCTCTTTTCTATCCGTCTATGTCTCACTGTTTCTCTCGCTTGTGCACAGGTAGGCGCCATGTCCACCCCCACAAACCCAGAGGTAAAGGAACTGAACCCTGTTGACTTTATCCAGCTCCAGCAGTACATTGAATGTGAGTACAGACAGACAGGCGGGCGGGCAGCTTTCTCAGCGCTTAACACCCCCCTTCACTTCCACTTCCACCCACACGCACACTCGTATACACTCGCTCATATCTAGAAGAGGTTGCAGTCTGACACATTATTTAGTTTTTTCAAATAAAGCATGCACTTTTATTTTTTTCTCAATAAATCTGGATTCATTGTGTATTCATACTGTATGCGTACATGATATCTCAGAAATGTGGATTCTTAAATGGTTGCACACAGTAGAGTAATATGTGAAGAATCTACTTTTTATCTACTTTTGTGTATCCCTGTGTGACCTGTGTGTCTTTGCTTCCAGACTGCAGCTTGAAGGTGAAGGACGTGCTGAGGGAATTTGATGCAGATGGCCGTCTGGCCCGGCACAGACATGGAGAGGTGAGGGGACGGGATGGTGTGTCCTGCTGTTCACCATCAGGTCCAAAACTCACTCACAGAAATGTCAGCTACGAGGCACATCATTTAACCGAATTTCATCTCTCAGCGGCGGAGCAGTTTAATGAGATAACGATCATTTGATTTATGTTTATTGAACAGTTACTGATTTTCTTACGCTAATTAATTAGATTTAAAACCAATCGATCATTTTGACTAAGCTGTCCATTAGAAATATCTTCAGCGCAGTCAAGCGAGGTTGCAGATGTAAATCACCTTCTTTGTTTTGCCCACGCAGCAAGGCTGTGCCGAACAGTGTGCTGACTGCCGTGGTTCAGCGTAAGCTCAAATGTGATTGAAAAAGATCTTTCCTATTCTGTAATGTCAGTGGGTGACACTGCCAACTAATTTGTGCAGGAAGCAAATACAGTAATTTCACATGGATAATTTGGCTACTGCCAGTTTAATTACATAATTGGAAGGAAATTAATTTTTGATGGGAGACAGCCTGAATACTGCCATAAAGTACTGGTTAATAGCTTTCAAAACACACTGAATAATACTGCTATTTGTAAATCTGTGTGTGTGTGTGTGTGTGTGTGTGTTCAATTATGATGCTGACTCCGTGGGCTTACTTTCATTTGGCTTTTGTTTTCTTTTGTTTTTGTTATCTGGTTTATTACTGGGGCAGCTCGGCAGGGGTATCAACCGGGGGAAATAGCATAATGTCAACAAGAATTGGGTTTTTGTTTATCGTTATCAAGGGACTGTTGCTTGTTACCCCCCCCCCCCCCCACATTATCATGCGGGAAAGACAGATGCCAGGCCAAACAGATGGACTGAAATCTTGATTCAGGGGCTTCTTTCTTGGTCATTTTCCAGTGAAAACCCTGCAACCACTCTCCAACTTTGAAAACTGGATTAAATGTTTCTCAGAAACATCTTGAGCTTTTGAAAGCCTTCCAACCCCCGCCGGATGCACTTACAGTACATGACTCTCAAGCTCAAAACAAGGGTGTTTCTTTTCTTGAGAAAACAACACATCAGATAAAGGATTTTCGCATGGTGAATGTCATCTTCCCTTATTTTCAGAAGAGGTGAATTTGAAAAATGCAGAAGTTAACACACACACACACACACATCCACAGACGGTTAAAACATTTAATTTGACCATTCACAAAAGCACAGTAAAAATAATTGTCTCTCCAAATTCTTTTTTTCCCAGTGCATCAATGAAGAAGGCTTTCGTCTGTTCCTCAAGACTTATTTAGAAGTGGAGGACTTCCCTGCGGATCTCTGCCAGCGACTCTTCCGCTCCTTCCAAAACTCTGAACCCACCCAGGAAGACAGTGCCAGTGAGATTATACACCATGTATTAACACAACTCACTGCCTCCATGCTACTTTGCAGCGTGCCCATATCAATTTACGCCGTGGCCTATTTGGCACGGGTTCATTTCTCACCACAAGCCTGTGAGGTGCTGTTTGTGCAGATATGGTTCACAGCCATCCTTCTTTCTCTCTCTCTCTCCTCTGTCTCTCCTGTAGAGGAGGTCTTTCTGAAGGATGTTTCATGTTACTTCTCTCTGCTGGAGGATGGCCAGCCTCGGGACAAGCTGGAGTGTGAGTCCTTTGTTTTCTTTTCTGCCAAAGATAATTTGAGTAATGACTTGGTCCAGCACTTGCACTTTCATTTCCCCTCTCTCTTTAGTTGCTTTCAAGCTCTATGACAGAGACGGCAACGGAGTCCTCGACAGCTCTGTAAGTTGTTGTGGGAATCTTTCACGTGTGATTGTCAGGTTTGGCTGAATTGTGGAAGCACTGTATCATACCATCCACAATACTAAAGCAAGTCTTTTGTTGTTTTTCAAACAGGAAGTGGATCGGATTATTGCTCAGATGATGCATGCTGCAGAATACCTCGGATGGGATGTGTCAGAGCTGAGGCCGGTAAGTTTCACAAAGTGTCACAATCAGACACATGAAAGCGTGTACGCACTGCACTTTTATCCTTATTTGTAGAAGATATGGTTGCATAGAATACATGGCGATAGATGCACCTATGAAAATCCACAAATTCCCACGCATGATTCAGAAACCATATGTTCTTTTCTAAGCAATAGAGGTTTGTGTGCTGATTGGATAATAATCAAATGTCATTTCATCAGGTTCTGAAGGACATGATGACAGCAATTGATGCTGACAGCAGTGGTACAGTGTCTCTGGAGGAGTGGGTGGAGGGAGGCATGAACAATGTTCCCTTGCTGGTCTTGTTGGGTCTTAAGGTACTTTAAAAGCAGCGTGTTTCTCTTTGTAGTGTTGGCCTTAAATGCTTAACTCAGATATATATTTCCTTTTACAGCAGGTTGTAAAACACACTTTTACTGCTCTTGGGAAACCTGCATGCCTCTCCTCTGTCCTTTGCCTCCTCCCTTATAGACCCTTATAGACGAAAAGGGCCTTTTTGCCGACTCAGTGTTACAGGGTGTGGTAATGTCATCTCCTCTCATGCAAGCTCTGCACCATCGGAGTGCTGAAGTGTTTTTCATTTACTCTGCAGAATCTCTGTCCACATTAAACAAAGTACTTGCTTAAAAAAACAGTCTTTAGGAACTATGTTTGACTAAAGAAATTAATCATTTTGACATTGGGCGTATACATAAAATCGGTCGTCATAAAACAAGGACAGCTCAGTTTTGTGTTATGAGATTTGTTTAATATGTTGCCACGGATGTAAGAGCCACTTACTGTTAGACTGCCTGTCTGCACGCTCACTGTGGTGGTCTAAAACCATTGGACTCTGCGACTAGGTTTAGCCACTACAACAATGCCAGGGACTTCCCCTCAGGCTATTTCTAGCCACCAATGGACATTTGAAGCCAGGGGTGCATGAATTCAGCCCCCTCACAGTTGCTGTGTGCTTTTTGGTGGCCTGCTGGCTATGCGTCATGCAGTAAGTGAGAGGATGATTCATCATGTCGGGGGAAAAAAAGCATTTCAGTGTGTAATCCGGATAAAGGCGCTGGCCGCCCTGTAAACAGATTGAAAAGCAACCTTATAATCTTCTGTTGAAAATTTGAGGTTATAGTCGGTGTTGATTTGAATATGGTGCTACACTGTATGTCATGATGTGTAGAGCCTCTACATACTGCATAATCAGCAATCTCATTAGCGTAGGTGTGAAAAACAACTGTGAAATGCAGGCCTTGCCCACAATGTTTTTATGATTCAACTGTTTGTGTAGTTTGATCCAAAATGTACCAAAAGGAAACGGATATAAGCTTTTTTTTTGGTTACATTTATTTTTCTATTTGAATTGTTTCCAACCATGATGTTCTTTTTTTTCTTTTTTCATTACCATCTTCAATGATTGCTCCTACAACTACCAGATGACTCAGAAGGACGGGCAGCACCTTTGGAGGATGAAGCATTTCAATAAGCCCGTTTACTGCAACGTGTGTCAAAGCATGCTGCTGGGTCTGAGGAAACAAGGACTCTGCTGCACCTGTGAGTATCCGAACTCACCAGAAGAGGGCGACATTTATCAAACTGTAATGACAAAATTGAGAATTGTAGTTACAGGTTTTAGATAGAAACCTTCAATTTATAATAATGTAAACATCATATGACAGCTGAGATATGTGTTGTGTTGTACAGGCTGCAAATACACAGTCCACGGCCGCTGTGCTAACAGGAACCCAGGCCCCTGTACCAGGACGTATGTGAAGTCAAAGAAAGAAACAGGGGTATGTCCTTGTCTCCATTTACAGTGACACTCTCAGTCTATAGTAGACGTTATCCTGTGTTCTGAGTGCTCTTATAGGGACATTATAACATTCATCTCATATTTCAGGTTCCAGCACACGACTGGGTGAGTGGGAACTGTGACTCAAGGAAGTGTGAAAAATGCCAGAAGAAGATCAAGAGCTATCAAGGCTTAACGGGCAAACACTGTGTGTGGTGCCACACGATGGTGAGGACGTATTTCGATGTGTGACAGATTTTTAGGAATAAGTTATTTATGGGCAATGAGGAGAAAATATGCATTTGTGTTATCGGGCACCCACATTCAGTCTGTAAATGCTGGTTTCCTCCTCTCCTTCCCCTAACTGTGAGGCGGAAATGCAAAAAATTTTTTTTTTTAAAGATATATTTGGATCCTGTCAGTTGTCATCACTGTTGTGCTGGGAGTTCATTTGATGTATCTCTCTCTGTTTATGTTTTACAGCGTCATGATGCATGTGCAGACCAGGACCCAACAGAGTGTACCTGTGGGCCCCTCAGAGACCATATCCTGCCTCCATGGGCAATATATCCTGTTGTAAAGGTACAGAATTATCCTCGGGCACACACACAATACAAACACTGCCTGTCACACCAACGCAGAGCATAATATCAGCCCAGGGCTGTTTCTTGTTTGTAAACCTTTCTCACCCGTGTGGCATTTTGACAGTGTGTAGAGATTTTTCATTGTACTCAAAAGGCAGACAAATCTATTACATTTTCTCCGGTTTATTTAATATTTACCTTTTGTTTTTGTCCCTAAAGGAGAGACCAAACAATGGCTGCTCAGGGTCAACAGATGACAGCGAGCTCAATACTACTCCTGATGGACAAGTGCTTCAGGTATTATTAATAATATCCCCAACGAAGCCTTTTCAATGCTGAATATTTACAATGACAGGGTTCAGTCATTTGGCATTCAATCAGTTTATCAAACTACACCATTTGTTTACCATTCAACAGATCAGCCCTGTGCCAAACACCCATCCTCTTCTAGTGTTTGTCAACCCTAAAAGTGGTGGCAAGCAGGGAGAAAGGTGAGTCCAGGAGAGATATGTCCGTGAAGAAATGGATGTCTAATACTTGCACATTGTTTAGCCTGGTTTTCTGTATTCCAGAGTCCTGCATAAATTTCAGTATTTACTGAATCCACGGCAAGTACACAACCTGTGCAATGGCGGACCTGGACCAGGGTGAGTAATTGGTACAATAGATTATGAGCAGCATGAAATAGAATAGAATGTTAAAATCCCCATCATCTCGCTTTCAGACTGAGTTTCTTCAGAAATCTGCAGGATTACAGGATCCTGGTGTGCGGGGGAGACGGCACAGTTGGCTGGATTCTAGACGCAATAGGTGAGATTGGCGGATCACTACAAGAGTAAGCTTTATATAAGGCACGCGATAGCTGCCACATCATGAGCTTCTGGTTAAAACCAATGTGACGCGCGCTTTCTACTTGCTTCCCTTTTTCCTTTTCTTGCTATCAGACAAAGTCAATCTGCTGGTACGACCACCTGTCGCTGTGCTTCCTCTTGGCACAGGAAATGACCTCGCGCGATGTCTGCGATGGGGCGGAGGTGAGAAATTAATAAGAGTGTTTTCTTGTAATAAAATATTGAAACAGCTTGATGCGTATATGCTCTGTTGCTGTTCATTTGTGTGTTTGTTTGAATGTGATTCATTGAAAGAGAAGTTCTCCAAATATTTGTCTATATTAGTCATGTTTATCGTTCTATGCTGTTTTCTTTTTGAAGGATATGATGGTGAGGATCTGAGTCGTATTCTTAAAGACATCGAGGGGAGCTCTCAGGTGCTGATGGACCGCTGGAGTGTGCAGGTCATCCCAGATGAGAATCAGGAGAAGGGCGACCCAGTGCCCTATGAAATCATCAACAACTACTTCTCTATTGGAGTGGTGGGTTTCTCAGAAATACGTCGCACAAAAGGAAGTGTTTATTTTTTCAGCTTTGTGTTTGGATCATTACTGGGTTTTGTTGTGTTGACAGGATGCCTCCATCGCCCACCGGTTTCACACAATGAGGGAGAAACATCCCCAGAAATTTAACAGCAGGTAGGCATTCAACAATTTGGTGAAACATAGTATTAGTTTCTAGGGCACTTCTTCAGGAATAGCAAACAATGAGCAATATCCCACTCACAGTAATGAAACGCAACACCATTTTAAAATCACACCTCGAACAGATGTACCGTTCAACAAAAAAGCAGACCTGAGGAACGTCGGTTTTACTTTAATTTTTCCTGTTTGCAGTAAAAAAAATTAATTAAAAGGGCAGAAAAAAGAACACAGGTTTGTTTTGTTGCAGCAAGCGTTGCAACTTGACTCTTCCTCCATCTAAAGAGCTGTGTGTGATAAAAAGAGAAAAATAATATCACTTAAATCTGAAAAACACACTTTTTTATGATTGCAGAATGAAGAACAAGCTGTGGTATTTTGAATTTGCCACTTCAGAAACCATCTCCGCTTCCTGCAAGAAACTGAACGAAAGTCTAACAATCGAGGTGAGAACACCGCATCAGCTTTTGCAAGTTTTGTATTTTGTCTTTGAAACAAACTCTTCTGTAGTAAGAGAAAAAGAACTGTCCCACAACCGGACAGAGCACTGATGCTTTATGGTGTTTCTTCTTCAGTGCTCTGGTACTCCACTGGACCTCAGTAGCCTGTCTCTAGAAGGGGTTGCTGTCCTAAACATTCCCAGCATGCACGGTGGCTCCAACCTATGGGGTGAGACCAAAAAAGGGGACACGAAGGGAATGACGAGTCAGGAAGAGCCCGAGGTGATTGTCGACCCAGAAATCCTGAAAGTGACCTCACAAGGTATTTTGTCTTTAGTTAAATTAGACCAGGGTGCATATGAGATTTAATCTGATTTATCTGCAGTTTCCCTCAGCGATGTGAAGCTTTTAAACCTCTGTCAGCTCTTTGTTTTGTTTTAACCACCAACAAACTTCACTTTCATTAAACGTCGGCTGTTTTTAGCAGAAAGGTCCTGATAAACTCACTGTACCTGTTCAGAGAGAGGGTGAATGGAGTGACTTTTGTCAGGTGGACACAAACAGGACCCCAAATAAATTATGTTGCTCTGTGACTGCTGTTTGCTAAAACGCTTGACTGAACAACGGATATCAGACTGTGTTTTCTGCTTGGTCTGCTGCTCCCAAGTGGTCGAAAAAAGTAAATCAATTAATGTAGCTTTAAGAGGATCTTTTGCACAAATCATTAAATGCAGTAAGTTAAACTGGCTCCCATGTGATTAATTGGTCTGACGTGTTTTCATGCTGTTCTAGTAGTTAAACCTGCATTAACTGATTTTTCTGGCCAATTGAGGTCAGCAGAAACGAGCAGCTAAACACAACTTGTTAGCAGAGCATTAGCATCCATTTGGAGTCGTGTTTGTGTCCACCCGTCTAATATTGACTCTCTTTTACTCTAAAAACTTCTCCAGTGTGTTCACCGGCTAGTTGCTGATTTAGTCTGTCTTGGAAGGTAGTTTATAGAGCATTTTTAGAATAAAAATGATGACTGATATTTGTTTTTTGTCTCAGACTAAGTGATTGGATTGTGCGCTGGATGTTCAGTATGTCCGTGTGTTCTTGTCAGATCTCAGTGACCGTCGATTAGAAGTGGTCGGCCTTGAAGGAGCCATGGAGATGGGACGGATATACACGGGTCTTACGAGTGCTGTGAGGCTTGCAAAAACGTCACAGATCACCATCAGGTGAGAAACAGCCTCACAGACATGTTCAGACTCGTCCGGCTTTGAGCTCTAAAGCCTTGGTCTTTACTCCCAAAAGTCTTGACAATGGCTTGTGGGTGACTTTGATCACCAGCTAAGGATAATCCTCTGGTTCTTTGAATAACAACAATTACTGATGCTGGCTTTCCTTTTGGTATTTTAATTACACATTAGGGTCATTGATTCTGTTACCTGACGCCTCTCTACTTTACCCTCAGGGTGAAGAAAGCCTTACCGATGCAGATAGATGGAGAGCCGTGGATGCAGCCTCCCTGCACGGTACATAACACACAGACACGGTTTCTTCTTGAAAAACATAAATTAAACATTAAAGCAAATTTCACCTCTTTGCAATACAATTAGTAGAAATGTTTTCGATTCGATTATATTGTAATTTACTGGATATTTTGCTTTCTATATTTCCTTTTCAGATTCACATCACACACAAGAATCAAGCCAGTATGTTGATGGCTCCTCAGGCCAAATCATCTGGTTTTTTCAACTACAAATAAACTGCTCAGAAGCAGCCACGTTTTTTTGTAAATAGAGGACTTACACTTTTAAAAATGTTTTGAATGTGTATGTTGTAGAATAATCGCACCGCAACAGTCAAAGTTAGGATAACTGCATCTCTGTAACACATAACCAAAGCATGGCACTGTATGAATACAAATGTATGCATCGTGGCAAAATTATTTTCACCAAATGTACTCCGTGTTTTTATCAATACCCAACTCTCTTGCTGCTTCTGTCTCAGTGCTTCACAGTTAGTGGAAATGCTGCTCTGTAGGAACTTAATGTAACATTTAAAGCAAAGTGAATATCACGCTAAAGGAAGAATATTCAGCTTCATGTGCCTTTACAATCTGTTCTCTGTGGTTATGGCTTTGGTAGAAGACTTTACAGAGCTCGATGTGTAGACGTGCACTTTGGGCATAATCCATGTAGTATTGCTGTTGTCCTTGTGGCTGTAAAGATGCTGTGAAATGACTGTAGTTACTTCACCTTTTGTTTTAGTACATTTCAGAAGATACTTGAAAGTATTTTTGGGAACAGTAATGGGAGAATCATTACCAAAAGAGGGACTCATGTATATCCATTGCAGCAGTCAGCCCACGTAACTGTTCCTGTGCGTGTGTGAGTATGTTTGTGTGGAAGAAAGCTGAGATATGTTCACTTCCAACTTGTCTTATTTAAATGCTTAATTAGTCATATCATTTCAATATATCTGGAAGATATTTATGTAATATGCCTGAAATAACACACTGTGTAGAGTTTAATAAATCATCTGGACTTCAGTGTTTGGTAGACCTCATTATTCATGTGGTGGGTTATTTCTTCTACCACAAGGGGGCGTCCGATGGCAGCGCCATAATCTGCTCCACTAACTCAAAATAATAGTTTTCTCTGCCTCTTTAAGTCCTTAACTCCTCGTTGTACAACTTGATCTCTTTGTTGGCAAAGCAAGAATCTGTGCTGGGAATAAATATTGTTTTTTTTTTCTCTGAGTAATATTACCCCTGACTTTTAATGAGAGGTTTTGTCTGCCAGCAACAAATGCTGCCTTCAAATACTTTTGGACAAATCAATACTGCCATACTGTATGTTTGGAAACTTTACAAACAGCTGCTGGTCAGATTGATATACACAACAGTTTGCACATAACATGAGCCACCAAATGATATAATAATGTCACATATCTGCCTTACAAAGTTATTCTTGGCTTGTGTAAATATGCTAGAGCATTAAAGAGACCCTCAAGACATGTTTTAAGAGATATAAAATACTCTGCTTTGAATAATGTTTTGTGTTTTTAACAAAAAAAACTATTTTGCACTACTTATAAATTCTTAAAATTTGTCTCTGACACTAACATCAAACAATATTTTTTTTAGTTTCCTAATTTTAGTTGTTTGACACAACATGTACTTTACTGAAAAGTCTGATCTCAGTGTTTGTGTCCATTTAGTTCCATTTTGGGTGCAAGAAATCGCATAAATATCTTCTAGGTGAGTAAAGTCACTTACGTAGTGCATTTTCACAACTATTCACTGAACTGGGGCAATTCTTGCCATTGTATTGATTTAAGTCTGCAACTGATAAACTATCTTCACGATCAATTGTAAAACATGTCAGGAAACAGTGAAAAATGACCAATGCAATTTCTTAGATATCAAAGTGACATATTCCAAACCCCAAAACATTCAGGTTAAAATTATGTACAAACCAGAGACAATCTGAAAATCCTCACATGAGAGAAGCTGACAGCAGCACATATTTGGCATTTTTGCTTGAAAAATAATGATTAAAACGACTAATCAATTATCCAAATACTGATTAATAAACTAATCCTTCTGCATCGACTACATGCTTCGTGTGCTTTTTTTCCTCTGGACTTTACCACTAATTTCTAGAAAATAAAACTTGTTGCTACATTTACAGTATAGCCTGCGAACCCCAAAACAAAAACACCTCCAGTTTCCCGAAAGGTGAAACCGAATCATCCGAGGCGCACATGAAGGCAGCAGAGAAGGATGCGCGTCAACATCCCTATTGGCACTCATTCGTGTCCTTCACAACAAAAGTCCCCGCCCCCAGCCTCTTCAACAGAAACACGCTCAAGTCACATTGTAGCTGTTGGCTCCACGTTGAAGCTCACAGCTCGGTCAGCATCTCTCACAACTGGTTCTTCTCTGAGGACAACAAGACACATTTGATTTGTACTTTCCACAACTTTTGCCACCACTCTTTATATGAGCTCAACATGACGTTCAGGAGGCTGAAGAAGGTGAACTCTAGCGGGCCAGAGAGTGGACCCGCATCTCGAGACAGCGACATTTATTTCCCCTCGTCAAAGTCCGACAGCTGCAGGACTGTGGACTTACCGACGAACCCCTCGGAGGTTTACAACTACAAGACTTTGGCTTACTCTGGAGGGACGCTGCCCAGAAACCTCAAGAAGGTAAGAAGTGCGTTTAACTGCTGAGCGGTACCTTCTCCTGTGTCCTCATTCATTTGGGTCAAGTAGTCCGAAGTGATCAATTTAGTTACAGCTGCACGCTAAAAGTTACTTTTAACTTTTAATTTGTTTAATATCAAGTTTTTTTTAGGACAAATAAAGTATTTATTTAGTGGACGTTGTTTAACATGATGTACAAGATGACCAGCTCAGCAAAAACGCACCTTTTTTGTGTTCAATTTCGTGATTATTTCACCTGGCAGAAGGACGAGGTCATTTGTAATGATGTCTAGACTGCACATGAGCTTTGCGTTGCTTTATCTAAAAGAAAACAATCTTAACTGTCGGATGCAGTGAGAGGTGAAGTGTTGTCAGTCTTGATGAGACAATATTAAAAATGTCATGTCACAATTATCCTGACCAGAGTAATTGCGATTCATTGTCATCAACATATCCTTAAAACTCTTGAAATGTCACTTAAACATA